CAATAGATTTTACTTTTGGGCCATAGCTATGCATTTCACAAATTTTCAGCTCTCAGAATCTCATTTTTACATAGGCCTTTAGTTCTCACACTTTGCTGTTTTCGGGTACGTTTATAGTACATAAATTCTAGGTCTAGAGGTGCTGTTTGAGGCTATCTCTCTCAACTGTGAATCAGAAACACTCCTCAGTGTACATATAAATCCTGGACCTTTGATTAGGCAGGCTGGGAAAATGACACACCACATTTCTTCCCAGTGAAAACTATGTCACAGAAAGGATAGACAGAGTCTGTACAATGACAAGGTATGTGCCAGGATCCAGGAACCAGAAAGTACTTTCGGGTGCCAAAGATTAGCTGTAGTCTGTAATTGTCCATACCTCACGATAGCGTCCCTGCAAGTTATGTCCAAATGGCTCCTTCACTTCCATCCACTTGGTTTCCATTCCATTCAGAAAGTCTGGTATCAGGATAGGTTGTATTGTTAGTGTCGTATGGTTAGCGTCCTACTGGCACAACCTTGTAGACAGTTCTGCAAAGTTGATCGTCACTGGAAGGTTTCTGCAGTTTTGCATTTTGGCCTCTGTATCTGATAATGCTGCCCTCCTCCAGTTCAGTGTTGTGGCCCCACCTTCCCAGGATCAGTCATTTCAGACTTAAAACACTCAGACCAAGATTGCTCTCACTGTCACAGGAATTACAAAACTGCATGGCAGTTATACAAACTTATACAACATTTCTTTTCCCTACCATTCCATTTTCTGAATGAAGTACAGCTCCTAATAGGCGTGTCACCAGAATATGGGTACAAAGCAATGCCTTCACCCCTTGTTTCTAGACAAACATCCTTCTTTGTTTTGGCCTGATTGCTATTGATATTCTAAATGCACCAGAATTTACTGGTTTGGTTTTGTTTCCTCTGCTAGCTTAATTTTTTTTATTACTGTACTAAGGTGTAATGCTTCTAAGGCCACAGTAACCACAGTAACCACTAGAGAAGGTCAGTAGGCATCAACGGTTGAAAACAGCAGCAAAATTAAACTTCAAAATGAGCAGTATCTGCCCGTTGTGCCATTTAACCTGGTCAGCATCATGTCATTCTCCTGGCACTTCATTTCTTTGTTTTTTGTTAACTGGAACAACATACCATGTAAATTTGTCCTTATGTTCTTTGTATTTATCCCTTTTGTAAGTTTTCACCAGAAGGAGTCATACTTATTTTGGAGCTTCATAACTGAAAGTCTCTCTTACTCGCCTAAATCTTTTAATGTTCTGCTTAAAGTATTTATCTCTGATCTTCCCATTACTCTGGCTATTACTTTATTAGCCTCTGTTAAAGCTGATAAAGTAATTCTCTCATTTTTTGCCATTGCTTTTTCCTATTTATCCGTTTTAATCTATTCTTCCTTTATACTCCATTTACCTTTATCTTACCTAAAATATGTACACATAAGGTCACAGTTGGGTTAACAAACAAGAAAGTCTTATGACAGGAACATCCCTATGCACTGGTTACCAGAAGTTTCACTATTTCTATGTTTGTCCATGATATACTTACCACAGACAAACCAATGGCAGTGATTATAAATTTGGTGATTGGTTGTGAGTACTGCTCAGCACTCACCAATACCATATATGCACTTTTGCTACATTTCCTTTTGCCCCTTAGGAAGTCTGCCTGACAGTTGGCAGAGTTATCTTCTGCTGTATGGGGCATTCCTCCCCGCATGCTTCTGAACATGTGGCAGTAGCATCTCCTAACAGGAAGGTCGGACTCCCTCCTGTCCTGTGCGTAAACTAAACTGTTTGATTGGTTCAGGGCTGTGTGTAGATATTTGTCCATGGCACCTGGGCATTCTTTTCATAAACATGCTGAAAGCCCAGTCAATGCATTATCTCTTCAGAAATTCAGTGCCCAAAATTTTGAACTTGTAACGGTTTCCACTTAGCTGTTCAACATTTGTTGTAAAGCAACAATTTACTTGTAGTGTTCACAGAGCTCCTGTCTTGAATCTTTTTGGTGTTCTGGTGCTACTTGTACACTGTCTCAAATGCTTGCTTTCGTTTCCTCAGTATCTCACCAGAGCAGCTCAGATGCCTCCCAAGCACTGCAGTGGTTCTTCTTGTGTTAGCTTCTTCTCTGCTGTAATTACAATTCTGGTGTGCCTTGCCATTTTCTTAACATACCTTTCGTTCATCGCACAGTTTCTGTGTATCTGCCTGCTTCTCTAGCTCTTACATACACACTGTATCTTCATCTCCATGCTTTTCCAGCAGAGCTTGAGTTATGGAATATTTGTCTCCCGTACGTAAAATTTCCCCCACTTCTCTGCTGAGGTGACTTGTGTTCTCTTTCATAGGGACTGGGGATCTTGCTAAACCTTCCCCATGGGTAGCTCCATCCCACTGTGACCAGACTGCTTGAAGTCCTGCTAGTCTAATTTGGAACTACCTGGCCTGTAGCTACACCATGCTGCAGCCACATCTGACTGATTAAGACTCAACATCTGCCACAAAACTATCTAGAGCCTTGCTTGTCTCAGTGCAAAGCTACAATGAAGGATCAAGGATTATCCTGCCTAGGCACATAACATAACAATAAGCTAATCTTTAGTTTATTTGTTTTCCTGCCAGCACAAAATAGAAAATGCAAATCAGAAAACAAAGGCAGCGGGTATAGAATTTAGCTTATCCCCTTGTGGACAGATGAAAAGAGTGTGCAGGGGAGAGGAGGAGGTATGGATCGTAGGCTGAAAAAAGGAATTGGGACAGTGGAACAGGGTGAATAACATGGTGAAGCAGAAGCATATTTCCATATTGAACTTTGAATGCTTAAAGTTCCTTACACGTAAAACTTGGGAGACTAGGCACACCACTTTGCTGGGGTCACTCTATGCAGTGCAAGGAGATCTGAAATTAGCTGCAGAAAGTCTATGGAGAATCCTGTCTTTATCCCAATATTAATAGAGTGGCATCTTTTATTGCTCTCCTTTATTCCTCCTCTTCCCCTATACACATTCCTGTTTCTCCTACCTGTCATATTTCACCCATCTAAAATCTGTGGCCCTAGACTTTTCCTGAAGCTATTATAATGCACTCTTCTCAGGCTTGTGGGTAGATAAAAGCCTTGCCAGCTACAGTAGCTTCTGGATTGGGCAGACAGTTCTCTGCTTGTTCAGTTTGGTTTGCTTCACTGGAGTGTGGTATTGCGAGTGTTTAAGTCCATAGTTGCATCTTTTTGCAACCTCCATTCTGACAGCAGAGCTGATGACCTTTTGCTTAGGAAGAGAACATGGGCTACAGGGTATACATTGTTTTTCAGACACAGATTTTATTAATTTCACTGCATTAACATGAAAACAGGGAGAAATGTAGTTCCAACAATAAAAGAATTTAAAATAAAACAGAGCAGTAGAAATATCACAGTTACAGCAGGATTTGTATCACACTGAACTAATTTATGTTTTAATATTAAAAAGGTGCTTTCACTTTAGTGCAGTAAAGAAGTACAAAAGAAAGGAAAAATATTATTTCCAAGCAAGAAAGTTTACTGTGAGGATAGTTTTTGGTCTTTTCTTTTTTTCTGTGGCTATAACCTCACAAGTTAGTGGCCAGATTATAATAGCTGATAGGATAAAAGCTAACAACTAATAGAAGCAGTGCCGTGATGTTATAAGGCTACAGGGGGAAGAGTATTTGCATCACCTAGATTAAGGCATCTGATAACTAAATTAAGAGGCTGGCATTTCCAGGCTCCTTATATAGTTGGACAGATAGTCTCCCCCAGAGGCTGCTTAAATCATATGTCTGCTTCTGACTCAGGCATCTCTTTTTCTCTGCTGACTACTGAGGGACCTTGAAGAGATTTGCTGTTAATTTAGGCATCTGAGTCACGTGGCTAATGTTAAGTAGTGTGGAATCCTCTCTTGTGTCCTTACCTTGCCTGGAGGCTAGTTGAACCTGCCCCTCCAGATTTCCATGAGCAAGGTTTTACATGCCTGAGCGGTGCCCTTTGAAGTAAATGGGAAAAAAAGCAGAATGACCATTCACTTGCATAAGGAGTGCTAACCTGCACTTCCTTACAGTTTGAAGCAAGAAGTTCTCCACTATGCCCCTCCTGCCTCTTCTTTGCTAACATCATGTCCCTAGAATACCACTTTCTTTCACAGGGAAACTCCTAATAATGGCATAAATGTATGGCCATAGGACACCAGTTGACTAATGGTCTTGAGTCTTCAATTAGCATGCAGTTCTAATTGAGGCACCAGTTGTCTATGGGCACTCTTTTGGGAAGGCAAAGTGGGTATGTGTCCTCTGCAGTTGGCTGCTTTTGCAGTTCCAAGGCTACTGTCTGCCTAGAAGTGTATCCCAAACATCAGACTTACAGTGTATGTGAAGAGCATGTTTTTCTCATGAGGGAGCCTAGCCTGACACACTTACTGCATCTGCCATGTAAAGTCTTCCTTTACACACATAATTTACCTGTCCAGAACTAGGGAAGCCTCCACTCAGTACTGTGCTCATGGTCTCCAAAATCCTTCAGAGGGTACGGATATTTTTTTCATACAGAATTTGGCATACCGAATACCAAGGTAATTTTCATTTTGGCCTTGCAGATCTTTGCTGATGTGCTTTTATTGGTTAAGTGCTGTTTTCCTTGGAGGGATGTGATTTGTCAGAAACAAGCTCATGTTTTTTTGGGGTGCAACGTTGTCTTGTTGTACAGTCAGTAGACTCGGTGTGCGGAGTTACTTGCAAAATTTCACCCACAAAAATCACAGTGTTGTCCATTAAAATCCCACTTTGGAAAATGTTAGCAACGGAACAGTGATATGGCAGGCATAAATTTAAAGAACTAAAATCAAAATACTATAACTTAGCCTATAGTCAAAAGGATTATATTTAAAAATGACTACACTATTAGCTAACAGATAAATCCTTGGGTTAAATGGCCCCAGTAAGATAAAGGTCAGTCAAGTTTCCCATCAGAGGAGAGATATTATCTTGATATATCTCATATTCATCCTCAAATTCCTTTTTTATGAAACATCTTTTATTCATGTAGGGAAAATAATGGGTAGGGGGAAAAAGTGAAGAAAACTAAAAGCTTCCCCCTATCAAATGCCTGACCATGTTACAGAAAGAATACAGTCACTTCCAAAAGGTGTTCCATTAATGTTGAATACTAAACAGGTACATCAATCCTCAAAGCTTCCTCCCAGTGTTTATCTTAAAATGTTCACATAACAGTAAATGGCTCTTGTGAGATGATGTATTACTCCTTAATCTCTTCAATATTGTATTCCCCCCCAGGTACATCTCACTAGCATTTGTTCATTGGATAGATTTTGGGTCAAGAAACAGAATCGTACTATTCTGGGCCCCATTCAAATCTTGATGTGATCCAGCTATGGTGTGAACGTTTCCTGGAGAACTCACTGATTCTCTTAGTTTAAGAATGGAAAATCCTGTAACCCCAGGGAACAGTTAACAACAAGAATTGAGGATCATACAGTTTTCAGTAGTGGTTGACATAAAGATCTTAAATAATGTCAGGCAGTCCTTAAGGCAAAGTGAGTGATGCAACATTTACTAACTAATGTTTTGACGTATTTTTACAGTCCAGTAGAGATGTCATGCTCTGCAGTGGATGGTGTGAATGTGGAACTAACTCTTTCTAATTTCTCACGATAAAGGTTTGGACATTTTTTGCAGAGGTGGGCTGCAACATGCTTTCGGAAAAAGGCATAAAGATATTTCCTAAATTTTTCTCCAACAAATGCATAGATCACAGGATTGATACAACAGTGGATCATTGATACTGTTTCTGTCACTTGGATTGCTTTCTCCAGTTGACCTTTGATTTCACAATTTGGGTTGAAAAGTGAACTTTGAAATGTATGCAAAAAAGAAGAAATATGGAATGGTGTCCAGAAGATGAAGTAAAAAATCATGATCACGAAAATAAGTCTGACTGCCTTCTGTTTTTTCTCATTCTTGCACCTCAATAACGTTTTTAGAATTTGGGAGTAACTGAAAATCATAATGAGCATTGGAACAATAAGTCCCAGAATGTTCATCTTTAAAGCATAGGAGTACTTCCAATATATTGTGGCATCACTTGGATAATGAGCACTGCAAGTATAACGTGAATTTTCCTTTTGAGTTTTGTGAAATACTATCCCAGGAACAGAAGCAAAAATAGCAACAGCCCAAGTGACAGCGCTGGTGAGGATGCCGTAGGTAACTGTCCTAGCTTTTAAAGCAAACACTGCATGCACTATGGCCAGATACCTGTCTAGGGTCAACAGGATTATGAAAAAGATCCCGCTGTAGAAGCCAAGCAGGTAGACACCTGAGAGAATTCTACACAGCGCTTCCCCAAAAATCCAGTCGTGAACAGCATAATAAGCCCAAAAAGGGAGAGAAAATATAAACAGCAAATCAGAAATTGCCAAATTGAGCAGGTAGATGTCAGTCATACTCTTCAATCTCTTGTATTTTACCAGGATAAGGACAACAAGCATGTTGCCCGTGAGGCCAAATATCACCACCAAAGAATAAAGCGGTGGCAGAAGTTTTGCTGCAAAGTGTTTTTCCTCAGTTCCTGGGCATGGCGTTGAATCGCTGTAGTCAAATTCTGTTGTCAGTGGCCAGTCGGCTAAGTCCATGGTATAGTTTTCCATGGTGTGTTGGTCTGGAAAGGAAGAAAAGGATGTTAAACTAGAGGAAACTCCAAGCTTGGCAGTGAGGGGAATGAAACACGCTGATGTCCTCATCTGGAATGCTTTTTGCTGCTGAGCACATAAGCATTACTGCGTCAATGTGTGGAAGAGAACGAAATTGCAGAGCTCCCAGGAAACCGATCTATATACCTGTGAAGTCACGCTGCTGCATGTTGGAAATGTGCTGGGTGTCGTTTCCTACGTGTATGCTGCCTGGTGCGTTTTTCCTCCTCAGCCTAGCCCGTCAGCTGCCTGACGCAACCAGAAGCAGAGGAATGATGAGTTCAGCCTGAGCAGTGGGTAGTTCAGGGCTGTTGTGCTCAGCAGCGGCTTTCCAAAGGGATGGAGCGAGCCAGCGAGGCAGCAGCAGGAAAGCAGAGCAGCTGGCACACAGAGCATAGCCGTGCTTCTCCTTGGGACCTGGCCACCTTCTCATCGTGCCAGCCCGTACTGTAGCCCGCACCCAGGGAGGACCAGGCACTGGCAAGGTGTAAGCCGGTGCCTGCAAAGGCGCTGTGACCTGGGCAAAACAAACTGACTGCCGCTTGTTCAGGTTGTTCATGACTTCCTGGGAGCCTTAATGCCTGTGGGAATTGGGTCACTGGAGGTGTGGAAATGACCTTTGCGCAGTACTAAACATACCCACCTGGTGGACCTGCTGTCCTGGGTGTTGCAGAGCAGCAAGTCGGCAGCGTTGGTCTGGTTAAAATGGTAAACGTTGTGTCCTTTACAGAGCCTGGGTCAGGCGTAGGCCATGGAAGCGTGCTGGTCTTAGGTGGCTCTGGAATGAAAACGGTGCGCAGTCCTGTAGAAAGAACGGATAGGCAAACACCTCAGCAAATGGCATAAAAGGTGACAGTTGCTATCAGCGTGGCCTATAACACCTATATCTGTTGTGGCATCTTCCTGTGAATTGAAAGACCTCCCCAGTGCATCTGCGGGGATGAAAGAAGTTTTGACTCCTTGTTTCAGTAGCTGTTTAACAGCTGTGACTCAGGAGCTCCAAAGTTTAGATTGGCTAAGTGTCTCGGGGGGGGCACAAGGGCGAAAGGCAGACATGGCCATCGCTATGAGTGTGCACTAACAGTTCTTCATGTGCAGCGGTTGTTTTGCTATCGTCCTTCATCCTTTGTTAGTCACTGTTTCCTGTGAGGTGACATAGCCATTGAGGAAGCGCAAGGGTTGCCCAAACTCCCTGTCCCTCCAGTTTTGGTCTGGGGACTGTTGCGGGGGACTGGGCTTCCCTCGCAAGAAGGAGTCACAGCCTGGGAGGTAAGCTGTGCAGCAGAGCTGTGACAGCCCTCAGGCAAGTTCTGTTACAGTGGGAGCAGGTAAAGGCTTGCGACTTTGATGTCAGCCCCTCCTGCCACCAAACCCTCCCCCTTTCCCAAGTCCCTGGTAGGACTGTGAGCCAGGTGCAGAAGCATAGCTTTGTGTAATTTGGTCTCTGGAAAGTTGAGGAGATCTGTCTTCTCACACACTCCTGGAGAAAATGGAAGAATTCCTGCGTGTCCTGTGAGAAGCCGGGAAGAGGATTTTGTGAAGACGGGTTTCAGAGGGACCAAACGTGCCTCCTGGTCACTTAGTGGGGAAGTGAAATCCTGCGTTTGGTTAGCCGCGTAAATAGAGCTATTTGCTGTCTGGTAAAAGGGCTGCTTTTTCTTCCTGTGTCATCATGACTGCTTTTGTCAGGCACTTCACGGCAGATTGGTGGCTGTTCGTAGCAGGTTGATGGTTTTGAAATCTGCATTTTCCTGGCAAGTTGATGCCTGTTCTCTTGACAAAGGCAACTGACTGCTCCCGACACAGAAGACTGTGTAGTGCGTCTGCCCCAACTTGTTCTGTGATCCCTGGCCACTCATGTAATGCAGCAATGTTTGCTTCTTTCCTGCTTGCAGCCCCACCATGCACTTTTTTCAATGGTGAGGTCTACCCCGTGCGATTGCAGATGTCTTTTGCAGAGATGACATTCTCAAAACCACCACTTCATTCTGTCTGCACTTGAGTTCTGCAAGACTAAATGTAACTGAAGAAACTCAGCCCATGGCTGGAGTGACACAGAGGCAGGCCCCTGGTCTGCTTTTTGGTAGAAGCTCAATTTAATTACATGGTGGGCCATTATGAGCTGTAGCATGTGAAATTTCTGAAGCGTCTTAAGCTCGTGTCAGCCTATTCAGCTGTTTCAGGAAGGGATTATTTCCTGATACATAATTACAGACTATTCAGGATCCAGAGGACTTAGTTTTAATCTGGGTCTTTATCTCAGTGGATATATATATAATACAAATAATGTTCATGAGCAAATTTATTAATTACACAGTGTTAAAACAATTTTTTTTGTGTGTATATGCACAAGTATACATTCTTATATCTACACATACATAGACACTCATACATATATAGAATCGTAGAATTGTAGAATCGTAGAATCATTTAGGTTGGAAAAGACGCTTAAGATCATCGAGTCCAACCGTCAACCTAACACTGCTAAGTCCACCACTACACCATGTCCCTAAGCACCACACCTACAGGTCTTTTCAATACCTCCAGGGATGGTGACTCAACCACTTCCCTGGGCAGCCTGTTCCAATGCTTGACAACCCTTTCGGTGAAGAAATTTTTCCTGATATCCAATCTAAACCGCCCCTGGTGCACTTAGCATTGTTGAATCTTTGTATATATACAAAGAAAGTAATTTTTTTTTTAATCTAGTTTGGGACTTATTTTGAGATTTAAGAACAACAGAAAATAATCGTGGGAGTAACAGAACTAAATGTAATTGATTCCCTACAGATTTGTCTCCTTTGCTGCCCAAGTCTTATCTCCTGTGATGGGTTGACTCCAGCCGGCAGCTAAGCCCCCATCTAGTCCCTCCTTCCCTCCCTCCCTCCACAGCGGGGTAGGGGAGAGAATCAGAAGGGCAAAAGCAAGAAAAACTTGTGGGTTGAAATAAAGACAGTTGAATAAGTGAAGGAAGCAGAAAAACCATAAGGGATGATCAAAGGACAAACTTGCTTGCTACCTCCCACCAAGCCGACGGATGGCCAGCCAGTCTCTGAGCAACGCCTACTTTGGAAAAGCTTTCCCCCACCCCAGTTTTATTGCTGAGCATGACATTATATGGCACAGAATATCCTTTCGGTCAGTTTGGATCACCTGTCCCAGCTGTGGTCACAAATCTAAAAGACAGCACCATAAGGGCTGCTGTGAAGAAAATTAAGCCTGTCCCAGCCAGACCCAGCACACCTTCTGACTACCAAAACTGAGCTCCTGCCCTGCACAATTCACATTGATGCTGCCTAGAAAGACAGCATGTTCTGTGATTATTTTGTTCACTGTCTATGACCTGATGGGAAATCTCTGAGCATTTGCATGGGATAGAAGTCAGATCCTCCTCTTCACAACAAGCATAAAATGTTAAAAATATTTTCTGAAGTGTTTTCTAAAAAATTCCTTATCCTTTGCACACAAGCAATGTTAATCACAAAAAGCTCTAGAAAACTGATCTGGTTAACAAGTTCTATTGGAAACTACTGTTTGCATTTGATTTTTTTTTTTCATTTATCTTTAACCATTTTTCCAATTTTCATTTTCATGCAGAAAGGAACATCTTCTGCAGAAGCTGTAGTCCTTGACAAGAAGTCTGGTTTTGGCTCTAAAATGATCTAAGCATGAACCTTCAGAATGGGTGTGTTAGCAAAGGAATCTCCAGGTTTATCTCTGCTCTTGTGCTGTAAGTATAAATGGGGTCTTCTGAGAGATTCTGATTGGGGAACTTGTGATTATTTGGCTTATTTCCCTCTTATTTTCCTTCCAAAATTACAAATGAATATTCAGGAAGTCTTAATGATTTTCATTTGCAGGGCTTTCTCATTTACTTTATGGACTGCATGCAGCCATCAGTGCCCGCTGTCCTGCCCCCACACCCACAGTTTCTGCATGCACAGGGTAGTTTTGGTTGCTAACAGAAATTCTGGACGATTTCTGCAAAAGCGGGCAACGGAGTCAAACCTAAGGTAGAAATATAAGAGAAGGAGAATTTTCACTTTGGTGCCCTCCTTCCCTTCTAATTTATCCTGTGTGCTTATCGTGCAAAAGCGTCTAAATATATGAGCAGTCCAATAAGAGGCTACTCTTGTTTCCCCTCAGAGGACTGGTTATGTTCTGAGTCTCCTAGAAGTTGGGTACAGTGAAGTGTGACCAAGCCTCGGGCCAAATACCTGCACCCTGGGAAAGAGTTCTTGCAGAGAAAATGGGTTTACAGCTTGGATGGGAGAAAATTTTATTTTCTTAATAATTGTAATCTTGTGAGCCAAAATAAATGTAATTTCATTTCTTTAAGTTTTAACAAAGCTGCACTTACTGCAACATCAGAGATTCTTATAATGAGGATGTAGCTCTGAATCATGTCTTTTTAAATGTCTGTATTTCAGCTGCTTTGAGAGAAGCTTTGCTAGCTCTTGAGTATTAGCTATTATCTATAATGTGTCACCTTCAGCTATAGAAGTGTCTAGGTACTGGTATGACTATCGGACGTTTCCATTTAGAGTAATTCAAGCAAAGAGGCTCCTGAGTTGCTATGCTGACTTATTCAGGGATGGCAGTTTTCACAGCTCAATGAGTCTGCTGTGCCCTAAAGGGGATTTGGACAAAGTTTCCTCACGGAAATCAGAACATTTGATAACTACAAGTTAGAAGAGCATCCATGCATCAATGGAGCCACTTATCTCAAAACTGAATGACCCCCAAAGTTTCCTTTCCCTTTTTACAGTCTAAGACAAGGTTTCTCTTTTGAAATGCGTGAACAGGTAACACAGCGCTACTCCCCCTGCCCTCGCTCTCCTCCTTTTCACAAATGGCAGTATTTGTCATACAGAAGAAGAAATTGCTTAATGACTTGTAGTCAGCTTAAAAGTATGTGTCAGCAGCATCTAGGGGACTTTATGAAGAGAGAGAAGTACAATGTAGCACAGAGTAAAACTGAAACTTAAATGAAGAAAAATAATACCCCATATCCTGATAGCAGGTGTTGCAAGAGAAGTGCCCAATGTTTCCTGCTAACAGCTCTATCTCTTTAACTTTGCCTTTGACTTTCCAGAAGGAGTCTGTGGACAGGTAAAACTACAGAGAAGACTGTGCACAGACACCAGAGACATCTTGGGGAGCAAGCATAAAAGTTATTTCTTGAGTTACCAAGAAAGCTGAAGGAAAAGATGGACATGTAATCTAAATGCTGTATGTAAGACTCTGAGCTGATAGTTTCCCTCAAACGCATCTTTTCATGTGGTAGTGACCACAGGATTTCTTTCCAGGGTATGACTGGGAAAAGACAGTCCCTTCCAAAATTAAACCTCGCTTTGGAAACCTCTTCCTCTTTTATAACATCTCTTCAGAATGGCTTGCCTCCTAACTGATGAGTTTTTTTCATCCCTGCAGGGCTTTCAAGGAAAAATATGTTCTGGGCTGGAAAAAACAGGCTTAATTCTCTGTGCACCCCCAAGATCCAATTGTTTCCATTCCCTAACAAAACCAGAAAGACAGTCTTGCAAAAATTCTGAGCTTTTCTGCACTTAAATAGAGTCAGTCTATGCGGTCACAAGACAAAAGAAGTAGGAGGTGTTCTTACCTAAACAAATGTACAGTAAAAGAGTACAATAAGAACTGAAAATAAGCACTATGATAAACTTGAGACATTGATTAAATGTCTTCCTCCAAATCATGACTACATGTGTAAGAGGGCTCTTCTCTTGTGTAGGTTAATCCTGTGCTAGTATCTCCGTTCAGGTT